TATAATTTTATTTAAAAAAAGTAAAAATTAATGGTATTTAATAAAACAACATTTAAAATCCATTCTTAATTAATTTAATAATTTTAAAAAATAATATATTTAGTATATTTTAAATTAGTTTATTTAAAAAAAATTAAATTATCAAGTTTATAATTTAGATAAAATAAAATAAAATAACTTAAAACAAGCCAGGTATACAGGCTTGGATGGCCAACATGAATACCTTGATGAATTATAACTCAATCCACGTATTTGAGGCTTTGTTTTTAATGAGTTTTTTTTTTTTGTTTTTTTAAATTATATTGACTGTAGACATTCCTATTTGTTTGCCTAGTTTCTAGTTTCTAGTTTCTAGTTACTACTAGAGAGGTGGTTTGTAAATTTTTAATTTAATTTAACATTAAATGACGTGAGGTCGAATTGCAATAAGATTCGAGCCGAGTTAAATCGCGTGAGTTCGAATTGCAATCAGATGCACAAGAAAAGGAGAAAGCATATTTCTTTATGAAGTCCGAAGGGGAACCTAGACATCAAAACAGATACAGAAACAATGAGCCCCACGCAGAGGTATGATGTTTCTTTTTTCTTACTGTTTAGCTAGGTCGACGTTCTTGAGATCTTCAAATGATCAGAATATGAACAGTCAACTATCTACACCTTTATCATCAACGGAGTTGACTTCGTTTTCTGAGCAGGGAAGCATCAACTTTCGAATGGCTCCTTCATACCTCAGAAGCCAGCTTTTAAGTCTAATCCTTCTGTAAAGAGAAGAAGAGCTCCCTTCTCAATTAATGGCCAACTTAATTAGAACACCACTTCCATTTCCTGATCCAGCATGCATCTCTATGGAGGTTCTTCTTTATAATTATCATGACTATTTGGTTAATATATAAGGGTGAGATATTTTTTTAAAGAATTATCTTATCTAAAAAATTTTAATTGTTAAATAAAATTTTAAGAATAATTTTATATAATTTTCTAATACTAGTTTAGAAATGGATTTGAGTCATTGTATTGTCGGTTTAACTCAAAGGTTACCGAATCAACAAAGATTTATATTTTTTTTATTTAAAATAATATTGTTTTAATTTATTTTTTATAAATTTTTGGTGTTGACCTAGATAAATTTGGATCGAATGTAACTAGATGAACCAAGTGATAGATCAATTTAATTTAATAGATTAATTGATTTGATTGAGTCAAAATCAAAATAAGTTCAACTTAATTCTCACTTGAGTTAAATTTTAAGTTATAAGTTTTTTAAATTAATCTTTTAAATTAAGTTTAATAATTACAATATAAACTTAAAATATCACAGGATGAACGATAATAATAGGTAATAATGGCAATAATTGAGTTACAATGTATTATCTATTTGTAGGAGTTTTGATCATGTTGGGAAATGATCTTTCATTGTCCTGACATGTTTATTTTGTTCTTAAAAATAAAATCCATCATACTGATATTAAGATAATCCTATGTAATTGCCATTAGAATTATACTCTTCATATCTGTACATTTATTCTCCAAGTGATATGCTAATATCTGTTGTTAGAATCCATTGCCTCAAGCCCATCATCGACAACAGAGATTTAATTTAATCATCGGAATTAAAGACTACATATTCGCTCATAAGTATAATAAAAATTAATTTTCGGACAAGTAATGTCTAAATTTAAATTGCAGACATTTCAGAGATCTTTTGTCTGCTGTTTTTTTTTTTATATATATATAATTATTTCAGCTATAATTAATGGTGAAGAACGAAAATGAAACACCATAACACGTTTATGTTCAGGTATTTGATTGTATCCAGAGCCATCACCAGGCATGGATGTAGTGCCATATAAAATTATTTTTATAATTTTATATAATAATTTAAATTTTTTGATTGAATTAATTATTTAACATGTTCAGTTATTCAAATTTTATCATTTTATTTTAATTAATAAAATAACACACAGTGTAAACTTCTAGCATAAAAAACCTTTACTTAAAAAATTATATTAAAAATTAATATTAAATTTTTAAATTAAAATAATTTTTTAATAGCATAGATGAAGGATTAAGAGCTCCGACGCTAACCTCATACCCATTACCAAGATAAATGCACCCATTGCCGACCGAAACACCACCGTACACAGTGGCTCCCGTTTGACATGACCACAGAACTTTTCCTGTCTATGCTTCAACTGCATAAATAGGTCCTTTTCGAAGTGTGGAGCCAGCAAAAATGACACCATTAGCCAAACTAACCGGTCCAGGAGCAGTGGCATTGCTGGGATCGATCTGCAGTCGACCTTAGAAATTGGCCCTTGCTAGCATCTATTATTTTTTTTATTTTTTGCGAGGGCTAACTACAAGCTGCACCCCAAAGTATTTACATTTTTCACACCAGCGAATATATACAATTCAAAGATTCAAAGTTTCAACTTGAAAGTAAGATAAATAAAGATAACGACGTTAGATCATGTACGATTGGTGTGTATTCTAAATATAAAATAAATCTTAAACATATTAATTCAAAATAAATAAATAAACAGAAAAATTTTAAAATATTTTTAAAACATAAAAACAAATATATCAAAGGGTATAATTAAGATAATTCAGCATCAAAATAAAAAAAGATACCTTCACTCCACACAAAATTAAGCATGCCATTATGTTAAAGCAATAAGTTGAGTTTAATTTCTTAGTTGAATAAAAAAGGAATTCAATTTTAAATAAATCCAAAAGGAATTCAATTTTAAATAAATCCAAATAGATAATAAATTTTGATTTTTTGAAGAAAAAAATATTTAAAAATTGTGCTTGATTCCGTGGTAGTAGCAAGTATAAACATATAATATTTGACTTAAATGCTGCCTAGCCGGTTATGAAGGGAATAATGTTTTCAAATCATGAAATTACTTAAGGTATGTAAAAATAATCATATCATACATGAATAAATTATTTAAAAGTAATTATTTTGTAATTGATTCACTGATAACAATTTAGGATTAAAATATCTGCTCTCTATATGGTTTCAAGTTCAAGCTTTATGGTTACTAATATAATAACTATTGAAAACTTACATGATCATTAACTTTAAGATTTGTGAGATTAATTGAGTTATATGCAAACTAGTCCGAATACCTATATTAATAAAAAAAATTATTTTAAAAGTTTTTGTTGGAAGAAAAAAAAGAGAGAGAGTTCTTCATCTTTCTTCGTTTTTACTTGAGAGAATCAAAGTTTAAACATAATAATTTTAAGAAGGGAAATCAAGTGAGGGAATAGGAAGTTAGAGAGAGAAATCATGATAAAGTGAACAAAAAAAAAGGAGAAAGTGTAAATTTTTTTATTTTTTTATTGATTAGCATTTGAAGTTCATGTGATTATTGAGTAAAGAGTTCTAAGCTCAATTATGCAAATTTGAGTAGAGATAAATAAATTTTTGTGTGAAATTCTTAAATTTGAATTAGAAATTTTGGATGAAAATTAAGGGAATTGTGAAATTACGGTGAAATGATGTAATTGGGATAGATTAGGTTATGAATGACTCAAATAATAAATAAATAAATAAAAAGAATTTTGTGTTTTGGTTAAATTAAGGTTACCCGTAATAGATAAAAAGTGAGGAAATTATGGAGCTAAAATGGATGTTTACCTATTGTATGTATTTAGCATATAAAGATGTGTTGATGATGATTAGAATTAGATTAAATAAATTATCAAAATTTAATTGATTTTCTTGTTAGTATATATATTGAGAATTAGGGTAAATGCACAAAAATTAAAAGAATTGTGATAATGGTTTATAATTAATAAATTGAGTTATTTTAACATGTTTAATGACAATTTATAAATAATTAAAGATTGGATTATGGAAACAAAATAAACCTTATGGTCAACCATGGATTGTTTTGCGAAGAATAGATAAATGTAATAATTTGTGTGTTAATGGAATGGTGTTAATAGAGAAAGAATAGTTAATTATAAACATAGAAATATATATAATTTCTATTTTTTATATATCTATAAAAAAAATCATTTAATTCATACAAACAAATCTTATAAAAATACATCCACACATAATAACACACAAAACTTAACAAATCTCACTTAAAAGCATCAACACATGAAGCAAGAACACACATGCAAGTATTATATCCACGCATTGAAAATCAAAATATTAGAGACCAAACAAATAAATCAACACATAGGGGTTTGATATTGACCCTTCAGTACTGATAGTACTCGACGGAGGCTGCTGGAAAGAGACTTCCTGGCCAGGGGCGCCACGTGCAACTCCCACATGGGTGTTGCGTGTCTATCACGAGAGGTAGATTTTGGATTTTTTATATAAAAGATTTATTTTGATATTTTCGCAATTATCCCAAGAAAACTTCCTTTAAACCATAATTACCATACGCGCCGATTTGAATACGGACCCGATTAAGAAATTAGATTTTAAGTTGGATTGGTTAATTTAGATTAATTTAAATTAATATAATTTTTTTAAAAAATATTTAAAATTTTAATATTTTATATAAAAAATTAAAAAATAATTTATAAAAATAGAAGCTAAACATGTTATAAATAATGAATTAAAAAAAATAATTTTTTTTATTTTATATTAAAAAGATATATTAATATATTATTTTTTTAAATTGAAGTATTTAAATTAAAAAGATTTTTTTTTATATTAAAAAAATATAATTTTTTTCTTGTGAATATTTAATATATATACTAAAGAGTTTTAAATTTTATATTGAAAAAATAATTTTTTTGTGAACATTAAATATATATATTAAAAGCTTTAAATCCTACATTAAAAAATAAAATATTTTTTTATTATTTATATAATAAATTTTAAATAGGGTTGATAACCAACTAAATAATATATAAAAAAGTAAATATTTGGTTAGAAAAAAAAATATATTTGAAAAAAAAAACTTAATTGAATTTTATCGAATTACAAAGTCAACCAGGTTTTATTAAAAAAATTTATTAATCTAGACATAAATCCCCTTCGTATAAAAAAAAAATTCAGATTTGCCAAAAAAAAATAAAAATGGCCAAGGTAACTGTGTTGCTTTGCTTTTGCGTTCTAGCAGTCTTTGGTTCTGTTAAGGCCCACACAGAAAAGGGAAAGGTTGGTATCTATGAGCTTAAGAGAGGAGATATGTCCTTGAAGTTTACCAATTGGGGGGCAACTCTTGTCTCCTTCGTTCTCCCTGACAAAAATGGTAGGCGTTGTTACTCTTCTGTTCATCTCAATCATGTTCTTGATTTATGACCTTTGGGTAGAATTAGAGGCTCCATATTCTCTCTTTTAAATGTTTGTCCTCTTTTCCACTCTTTTCTCTGGTGTGTCACAGGAAAGCTGATTGATATTGTCCTTGGATACGATACAATAAACCAGTACAAGGTAGGGTTCCACTTCTTCATTTGTAGCTACCTTTGTTTTTGAAAGAAAGGAGGAGAGCTGAGGGAGATACGCAAACAGATTAACAAATTATTGGGATTGGACATAAATTGTATCATTACATAAGGTTTATGTTGTGTCCTAATGGGTTTTATATCCACTGATTCTTCACCTTCTGACAGAAAGTTTGGTAAATAAATTTGTGCAGAACGATACAACATATTTTGGAGCCATTGTTGGACGGGTTGCTAACAGAATTAAGGGTGCTCAATTTAAGCTAAATGGACACACATATAAGCTAGTTCCCAATGAAGGGAAAAACATGCTTCATGGTGGTCCAAAGGGATATGCTGATGTTGTTTGGGAAGTGACCAAGTATCAGAACAAGGGTCATAAACCTCACATTGTTTTTAGCTATCACAGTTTTGATGGGGAAGAAGGTTCCTGAATTTCTGTCTCACTGCATTTCTTTAAGATAAAGATTTACTTCATGTCATTATCATCTTAATTCATTTTCCAAGAAAAATTGGTGAAGATTGCTCGTTCTCCTTTTTTGGAAACTCTGCAGGATTTCCTGGAGAGATCCTAGTCACTGTCAGGTACACTCTCCTTGCAGAAAACCAAGTGACTGTTGTAATGAAAGCCAAAAATATTGGTAACAAGGCAACCCCTGTAAATATTGCCAACCATGCTTACTGGAACCTGGGAGGCCATAACAGGGGCGGCATCTTGTCTGAAAAGATTCAGATTTTTGCGTCCAATTACACACCTGTTGATAGCGACCTTATTCCAACTGGAAAAATCGAAGCTGTGAAGGGAACTCCATTTGATTTCCTCAAACCCAAGGCCATTGGAAGCAGGACCAAGCAACTTCCTAAAGGTTATGATATCAACTATGCTCTTGATGGGGTTCATGGTGGCAAGATTAGGAAAGCAGCAGTGTTGCACGACGAGAAGTCTGGAATTGAAATGGAGCTCTCGACAAACGCCCCTGGGTTGCAATTCTACACTGGTAACATGATCAAGGATGTGAAGGGAAAAGATGGATTTGTGTACAAGGCTCATGCAGCTCTATGCTTGGAGACTCAATGGTATCCTGACTATCTTAATCAACCCGACTTCCCTCAATCTATTGTGGAGCCTCGAAAGAACTACAAACATGTAATGTTGTACAAATTTTCAACACATTAAGGGCATTTAGGAGTTAAATCTTAATATGCTACATATAATGATATGAATTAAAAAAATGTATATTTTTAATAAAACAAACCCGAATGTTCTTATTCAAGGATTTCTTTTTGATATTGATGAAAATACCTTCTTTTTTTTGTGTTAGAAACTCTGTTTTCTAAGCAAAACACTTATTATGATTAGGAAAGCAAGTATTAATTAAAAAATTAAAAAAATCATGAATAAATCGTCTCTCCACAATCGTACGAAAAAAATATAAGAATAATAAATTTAAAAATTTCTTCAAAATAATTACAATAAACAAATTAAAAAAGATTTACAATAAGCAAATTAAAAAACTTAATATTTTATTCTCATTCAATAATAATGAGTAAGTTATTTTAAAAATTCTACATATTAGGTTAGTACATAACAGTTGGATGATATCATCACAAAAAATACTTTTTAAAATGATGGTATAAATTTTATTTCCAACATTTTTTTAAAATAAAATGCAAGTTAGTACATAACAGTTGGATGATATCATCACAAAAAATACTTTTTAAAATGATGGTATAAATTTTACTTCCAACATTTTTTTAAAATAAAATGCAGGTTAGTACATAACAGTTGGATGATATCATCACAAAAAATACTTTTTAAAATGATGGTATAAATTTTACTTTCAACATTTTTTTAAAATAAAATGCAATGACAGTTAAAATATATGTTTGTTAAAAAAAATTTATCATTTGAAATAAGTTTGAAAAAAATATATATCTTCAATCTAAAATTCGTTTCCTTATTAATTCATCTTTTTATCATTTTAATGAAAACAATTAATTGTAATCGTGTTTTTTAAATAAAAACCCATCATGAACTAAAAGCAAATTTTAATAACAATATTAAAATAATATCTCAATATTTTTATACATTCATGAAGGAAAAATTAATTAATTAATGTGATAAAATCATGTCAAAAAATTATAAAAAAATAAAAAAAATTATTTTCATTGAATATCCATGAGTAATTTGTCAAAAAATTATAAAAAAATAAAAAAAATGATTTTCATTGAATATCCATGAGTAATTTATTTTTTCTTTATTGCATATAAGGTATATAATAATTGGATAAGAAATTATTAAGATTCCTATAAAAAAATATTATTTAAGAAATGTAGAAAAACTGACTAATAATTTAAATATAATATCAAGTATTTTATTTATAATATATTTCATTCAAAATCTTAAAACAAAATTGAAACAAAAAATTAAAAAAAAATATCAGGCACATGAGTCAAATAAATTAGAATTGCATACATGGCCTAATATAAAATAGACGTGTTGCGAATGGATTTACAAGACTAAGCTAGTGCACCTAAAAATATTTAGTATGTGTTTGTTTTAGAGGTGAAAGTTATGATTTGGGTGTGAGATCCACTAAAAAAACTATAAAAAGCAAAAAATATTAGCTTTTGCGGTTAAGTTTTGTGTATAATTGAGTTGTACTCAACCACAATTTCAACAACAAAAGCTAAAGCAAACACTTTTTTACTTATTTATGTTTAAGAGCGTACAACGAGTTTTTTTTAAATGAATATAACACATAACATGTGGTTTGCTTGTCCAGATTTCAATCATCAGAGAAATGGTTGGAAAGTCAGGCTAAGTTTTTTTATCTAAACAAATATTTTCTAACTATATTTCACATAATAAACACTATATAAATTTCAATAAACCAATTTATAGCATTAAAAGCACTCATAAATTGGTCCAAAAACATAAAATAAAAAAAAATCTTCATTAATCTCAATTTATGTTTTTTGGCAAGATAAAAGGTAAAAAACATCTCAACTAAAATTCTATCATTAAAAAGAATTCAGAGAACGATTAAAACAATAAATGTTTTTAGATTGGAAAGTGGATGCCAACCACTCTCTCTCTTTTCTTCTTTATTTTGTAGTGACTTTTTCTCACCTCTTAAATTTTAAAAAGAACAACATAAAATAAATTAAGTTTAAGTTTAGGACTAAAATATTAAATCCTAAAAAAGGACCAAAACTGAAAAAGATAAAAAAAATTTCAAGGACAAAAATTTACTTTTCTATGCCTTATTAACAATTAAAAAAATGCTTCTTTGTTTTTGTATTAAATTTGATTCATGTTGTTTTAATTTTTTAAATAGATAAAATTAATTCCAATTCTACAAGATTGAGCATCAATTTGAAGTTAGGATTTTTTAGACACAACAAATATGATGTATAATACAACCTAAAAGGAATTGTAAGGTTTTAAATCATATGAATATAATGTTAAAGGATAAAATAAAAAAATAAAAAATTTCACTGTTATATATCATAATTTTTCAAAAAAAAAAAGAAAAAGAAGAATATAATGAACCATATGCACTTTAGTAGTCCATTAAACGCTTGGGTGTAAAGCATAATTAAAAAAAAGATAGTAAAATCCTATCTTCATTTAGTTTATATAGCGCAATTTAAGCATTAAATCTCTTTTATTAACTTAGAAAGTTATACCAACTCACCAATATCAACTTAAATGATTCAATTTATTTTTTGTTAGATATTAAAAAAATCTAAGTCAATCGGATTAACTCAGGGGTCATATCCAAGTTATTAAAGATAATAATAACGAAGCAACTAAGGTAGAAGATATATTTTAACTAGTAGAGTGAATTGATCTTTATCGAGTTGCTTCATTTATCAAGTTAAAAAAAATATTCAAATTTTAATGTCGCTAAGAATATTTATGTTCATATCAATGTTGACAAGTTAAATAATATATTGAATATCAATGAACATATAAAAGTTGATAAAAATGAAGGAAATGAACAACTTTAATTCAATGAAAAAGAAGATGGTGATGGACATAAAGATGATGAAAATAAATATGATGAGAATTCAAATTAAACAATGTATTTGAATTGATTATATATATATATATATATATATATATAAATTATTATTATGTAATTAAGATATTTATTGTTATTGTATAATGTATTGTACTTCGTAATTTTATCTAGTGTTTGTTGTTTTGTTTGTGGTTCTAATGAGTTATTGCATAAGTTATAAATATAGATATTATTGTTGATTAATTAGGCTATATAAGGATCATAACCAATAAATAAGGAAATAAAATTTCGAACTTCACCGATGAAATAACCAACAAAAATAAAAAAAATATATAAATTATTAAATAACCATTGGCGACTCCATCATTGATTTAACTAACCGACATGCTCATTGATAAATGCTAAAATCATTAGAGAATTACAAAGAGTTGGATATAATTATTTTGGTGATATTGTAACTCACTGAGAGTCATTAAAATCATTGAAGAATTACAAATAGTTTATGAAAGAATTACAAAGAGTCATTAAAATCATTGAAGAATTACAAATAGTTTATGAAAGAATTACAAAGAGTCATTAAAATCATTGAAGAATTACAAATAGTTTACGAAAGAATTCAAGAATTTTAACCAACAAATAGATACACCAGCAAATAAAATTTCATTAATGATATTGTACTCACTAACAATCACTAAAATCATTAAAGAAATATAAAGAGTTTTAAAAAGAATTTAAAGGATTTAACCAAAAGAATTTAATGATGAAAATTCATTGATTAATTTGAGGGTTTTCAAAAGATTTTTGAGATTTTTGGAATGACCCATAAATTCATTGATTATTGTAAACTATCTTATTGATGATTTTATTGGTGATGTGCTAACATGTTAAATCATTAACAGACTCATAAAAAAAAAAACTCACAAATGAATTCAAACCCAGATGTACAAGGAAATCTCTAACTTTCCCCTATTTCTCCTAAAATTCATATTGTCCCTATTTTCTTTCATCTTTCTCTCTCTTTCACCAAACTATTGATGTTTTCTCTTTTTCTTGGATGGTGGGGACTCTCTCTTTTCTTTAGATAATGACATAAACTCTCTCTCTCTCTCTCTCCAATATTTAAGGTTTGTAAAACTTTCTCTTTAGATATATTTAAAATTCTTTCAATTGATAAGTACACAATTACAATTTAGACTTATGTTTCAGGTGCTGGTAATGTTTTATTTCTTATCTTTTCCATAAATGAATATGCTTTTGACTTTTAGGCTATCATGTTATGTATTGAAATTGCTCATGATCGGAGGTTAGTATATAAAAACTGATAAAACCATTGACTAAAAGACTAATAGAAACAAACATAAGTTATTATCTTTTAACCATTGAATTGATTTAGAACCATTAACCATAGCAAATTAAAAACCTTAGTCAAATATATATTTAATATTGATACGTTAAATCTATTGATGAAAGTTAAACTTAATTTATCATCGAATGTCACCAGATCATCATGTATAGAAAGTCTATTATACCTTTAGGCATCATGTCATGGTAAATTGTTGAATAGTTTATTCTAGAAAATAGTCATTCATATCTTAAACTCTTAAATGATTTAAACTAGGCATTCAATATTGCTAATCACTTCTATATTTGTTTTTTTTTCTCTTTACAATACGCCTAGTAGCAATAAATAATCAAGAAAATTTTATTAGATTATTGAATGTTTCAACATTTTCATCATCTTCATATCAATCATTTTCATTTCAATTAAATTTGTATTGTTTTCTAGTTTTTTTTCCCTAAATTTCTAATGCCAATTTTTAACTATAAATCTTTGTACAAACAAGCATTATCAAATTTTAAATAATAGGACTCATAGGCTAAGCTTTCTTATTACTTATGGTCAATTATATTTATGCTTCAATGAAGGCTTGTGTTCAGAAATATTATCGTAAGTCTAAGTTCATATGCAACATGTTAGGTTTGTAAATATAATTTGTTTGTTCTAGCAAATAAATTGTTATTGAGTTTGTTTATACTTGATATCCTTGTTATTGTAGGTAACTTTTGTTGATGATTTGTGATATTTGATCGTGGAAAATGATTTGATTCATTGTATTTAGTTATATGTATTTTTTTGTAGATTTTGGATGAGATCACATATAAGAGAGTTGTTACTAAATGTTTTTTTTTTATATAAATGAATAGATGCATTAAAATAAAAAACCATAAACCATAGATTAAGAATTTAATTAAATATGCTTAATTATTTAGTTATATTGTTTAGATGCTAAGAAAAAAAAAAGATTCAAATATAGTGGTTGTGCTTTTTCAAGTAGTAGTGTTCGAGAGCCTTTGATGCATTTAAATGTTAATCATGAAGATACACTTAATGCATTTGCTAACAGTGTAGGCTCATTAAGTATGAGTTTTAAATTTAACATCTCATCTGCTAGAGATTCTTATTCTAACAAGTTAATAATAAAATGGAAGTTGGATTTAACCATGTAAGAAAATTTGTATTCTTCAAACATAACATTAAATTGATGACCATGTGTTTATATAATTTGAAGTTAATTAATTGATTTTTAGGCTCACAACTATAGAAGCTGTGCGAATTGATTTTTAAGCTCACAACTATAGAAGCTGAGCGAACAATAACATCCATAATGAAAGTGCTTCTATTTTAGTAAAGCAAGCTTAAAGATCATCCATAGTGAATACTTGTGGTTAAGGCTTTATGGGGGAAGTTTAAGTTAATGCATATATAATTTATACTTTTAGTTAATATATATTTATTTTTAAAATTTTTAATTAATTATTTTATTCTAATGATTATAAGAAAATTTTCTAGTGGGATGGTGCAAACTTTAAGGTTACCAGACAAGTCAAGAAAAATTATAGCGCAATTAGATAAGTTATAACATGTTAAGTTTATAATTTTTGGTAAAATTGTAATTTTGTATCATTATGTTTTTGTAGTTTAACGAACTTCTGAATTAGTTTACGTAATTTTTAGTATGACATACACACTTATACTAAGAAAAGAGTCAAGTCAAATGACTTTGAAGTGTGAAAGATTTTTAAACCTTCTTATATCATTAAAAATAATTGGGAGAGATATATAGAGTTCTTGATGTTAGAGGGTTGTAGGAGATAGTCATGGAGAGAGTTTTCAAACAAAACCAAGAAGACTCACAGTTCCATTATCAAGCATATTAATGGTTCACTTCATTATACTAACCATGCAAAACGCCTGGTAAGAGCCTATTTTATTTTTAATTAGTTTTCTTAAAATGATAGTTATTATTTAAAAAATGTTTAACTATTGATTTATTTTACAGACTACATAGCTTAAACATGAGTCAACTCTGATAGAGTTATATATGGAAATACATATATGGAGGGAGGACAAATAAAAAGAGTACAATAGTTTATGGACAATTGAGTTATTTATTGTAAGTAAACTTTGAAATTTTTTTATATAGTTTGGACTAATATTTTTTATCCATATCTTCAACTTTTTTATGCATGAATAATATAATAGTGGCATGCATACCAAAAACAAAGAGAACCATTTAACCTATCCAAAATACAATCTAGAGTTGTGATTGGAAGTTAGAGCAATAGGTCGACACAATAGGAATTAGGTTTATGGTATCTTTATGATTACGACTTGAGATATAAGGTAAGATTGTAGTATCTCGGTCATCAACACCCCATAACTCGACTCGAGGAAGCTATCACCAGCTATTGAGGAGTTGGTTGAATAATGAATTGGTGTTATGAGTACCAAAATAGAGGCAAAGTAGAAAGAATAAAGTAAGAAGCAATGAGAGGAGTTGATGGCATACTTGCATGGTCATTATCTTGCCCTTTATAAACCTCCAATAAATTTTCCTCCCCTTCCCCCTCTACCTCCAACTCCACCAGTAGTGCCAACTTTTTATATATATATATATATATATATAATTGATTTATATAGTTAAATTAATAATATAAAATGTGTTATTTAATTTAAATTAGTTGCTTATTATTGTTTAATGTTACATTGATTGATAGCATTTTAAAAAAATTAATTAACTAAAACACCAACGAAATCACCTATGAACATAAAAAAAACTGTTAGTGATTTCGTCGGTCAAATAAGATCATTTTTTTCAAATAATTATAGAGAGTTGTGAATTATTTTGATATAAACTGACAGATTCACTAACAAAACATGTTGCCCAATCCATTAATGGCACACAATATATCATCGATGAATTTACTTTTTGATAAACTATCAGTAATATTTACCATCAAATATGTCAACAAACAATGACATGCCTATTTTTATCATTGATGACAATAATTTTTTGGTATAAAACTAACTGATAAAATTATTAACGGATAAGACATTAACGAGAAGATACTTGTCGACGACAAATTTTCATTAGTAAATTTATTGATAATTTTTATATCGAAAAAAATAAAACAATTTTCTAAGAAGTTTTATACTGATAGAATATTTTATTACATGTGTGTATATTAATTTTTTAATTCTAGAATATGAGGTCAGATTATAAATCTTAATTATAAACACCTTATAATCCGATTCGAGCTCGCCATCATAGCAAAGAATAGTTGAAGAAAGAATTCCTTGGTCACAATTACTATATCATCCGCCAAATTATCAGTATGATTGAGTTTACCGCACATTAATGGACGAGTTTATCGATGGTTACATCCTTCGATAGAGGAGTCTCAAATTTGACTCGAAGGACGTCTATTTTTTTTTTTTTTTAAGCGTCTTCACTTGGCGCAATCCAAAATATGCATTTGGGAATACATTGCATTCTTCAAGACGTTAAGCCCAAATATTTTGAAGAATTGGCAAGTCTTGAACATGAGAGCATTGCTATAGTCGAGAGTTGAAAGCAAATATCGCAAAGCACTTGACGAGGGCACAATTCTTGGAGAGATGAAAATGACAGGCCCATTAAGTTCATGAAAGGCCAGGGACGAGCTTCTAAAGAAATATCCAATCTGTGACTCGGGCATGCCGAAATTAAGCGCCCTTTGGGGTTTGGGCCAAGCATGCATGGTCTACTTTTCATAGTGGGGTCCGCAAATGGAGCAGTTAACAATCTTGTTGTGTTGATTCATTACCAGGTCAACACCACGGGCTATGGTCGAAACGCTGTGTCTTTATTTTCTATTTCACAACGTTCAACTCCAATGCGCACCCATAAATATCTCTTATGTAACTAAGGACTCGTATCTTCAGATAAAAGACCGAGCCTGTTTCATATTCTGCGTGGAGAAGATGTCCAAGTTTTCTGCGTTGTTTTGTTTTATCATACTGGTAATTTCTGGGTGTGCCTGTATTGACTCGGCAATGGGGGGAGAGATTGGGATATACGAGCTCAAGAAAGGAAATCTCAGCATGAAGCTTACCAATTATGGTGCCCGTATCATCTCCCTTGTTCTCCCTGATAAAAATGGTATGTTGTCTTCTTCGATCCATTTTGTGAACTCAATCTCTTGGGATTTCCTGTTTGTTACTATATATATTGCATCTCAAGTTCAAGAATACGAGTTCTTGTGCTGATAACGTCTGCTTGTTGACGAACACTTGACAGGAAAGCTAGGTGATGTTGCTCTTGGCTTTGATACTATTGAGGAATTCATGGTGAGGATTTTCTCTCTTTAATTTGTTTTTCATGTTTTAGATTTCTGTTTATGAAAGAAGGGATCATTTCGCATTCTTTCTTGTGCAAAATGATTCCCAAAGGAATGGCCTTTGTCTGCCTGCCTGTCCGTTTGTGTCTCTTTCAAGGACATTCAAGCACATGGTGCTGCTCATGCAGGACTCCCGCTGCAGTGCTATACAATATTCCACGATGCCTGCACCCACACCCTTGCTATGAGACAAAAGTGTTGTAGGCGTAGCTAAATCTGCCGCAAATTTTGCAGTGCCTTTGCCAAAATGCGAAGGCATTCTTTTTTAAATGCCTTTTCCTTCGGTATAAAGACAAATTTTTGCCATTGACTTTTCAAAGAAGGTAGTTAATTGTAAGACCATGAGAGTTGACCTTTGACATTTCTAAATTCCACACACACACACACACATATATATTACAAAACTAATAGTGTGATTTGTAAATGTTAATCATATTTTTTAGAAAAATATCAATTTGATATTTTTAAAATAAAAAAATAAAAAAAACAAAAGCTATTACAATGTTAAATGAACACTAAATGATTGTTCATTTCTACTTTTTAAAGTATTTTTCAAATTGATTTTTTCCTGAAAAATTATTAAAATAATATTTTTAGATATTTTTAATATATTTTTCCTATGACTTTTCAAAGGTAATTAACTGTAATACCATGATAATTGACCTATGACATTTTCAAATTCCACTTTGTTTGTTTTTTTTTAATATATATATATCTATTGAAAAATTAATAATGTGTTTGGTATTGTGAAATATTTTTTTATATTAGTATATTAAAATTATAAAAAATATTTAAAAAACATTAATTTAATTTTTTTAGGTAAAAAATAATTTCAAAAACAAAATCTATCACAATATCAAATGGATACTAAATAATCATTTATTTTTTCTTTTTTTAATTTTTTTTCATGAAAAATCATTAAATTGATTTTTTTAAGTGTTCTTATATGATTTTGATACATTAATATAAACATTAAAAAAATAAGAATAAAAATATCATTTTAGTATATTTTAAATTAAATTAATTTTTAAAAACACTATATCATAGTATCAAACATTAATTAAGTACACATGGTACACAGAAGGGCAGTGTCCTGCAAGAACTAGGGTTAATAATAGATAAAGAAAAAAATTGCTAACAAAAACCTATATATAAATAGAGTTATTTTCCAGCATTTCAATCCTGTCAAAAGTAATTTTAAAAAAAAAAACTGTTTATTTGAGACTACTTAGAATAGGGTTTCAAGTTCTAAATTATCAGTTAATTAGAGAAGATTTTAACATGTAAGAAAAATAGCATGACCCATTTTATACTTCAATAATTGTTTTGTTCTTCTTAAGAAATGTTTCGTCTTTCAAATTATTGCTTTTTCTGCATCCTAAGAAAAAAAAAAAGAAAAAAGAGAAGAGAAAGCCTTCCCTTTGTTCAAAGATAAAAGTAAATTCACTTCTGACATGCAGAAACTGTTCTGTCCGTTGGTGCATTTCTGTCAGACACTTTATGCTTTGTTTCACGTCAAGTAATAATATTTTCCATTTATAATTTCCCTTGAATTATACCATGAAATTGATTAGACTTTTTGTGCAGAATGCTTCATCACCCTTTGGGGCCACTGTGGGACGGGTTGCCAATAGAATCTCTAATGCTCAGTTTACCTTGAATGGAACTGTTTACAAACTACCTGCAAATTCAGGGAATAACACGATTCATGGTAACCTTACATCATTTTACACCTAGCAAAGTGGAAGCTTAATTTCCTCAGATTGCTTTTCTACCAATTTCTTGAGATTTCTTGTTTCTTTCTGAACGAATTGCTTGCTTATATGGATATCAGGAGGGCCTATAGGATTCAGTAAGGTTGTTTGGAAAGTGAAAAAGTACAGCCCCGATGGTCTTGTTCCTTACATTGTCTTTGCTTATCACAGCTTTGATGGTGAACAAGGTAAGAACATATAGTCTGTTAAGGCCATACTTTTAATTTTCCACGCTAGAGAGGCTCAGATATAACATCTATGATATATCTAAGAGCATGATGACACGCTTAATGTGAAGATTATTTTCATGTTCACAGGATTCCCTGGTGATCTCCTTGTAAAAACAAGCTACACGCTACTTGGAGACAACCAACTGTGTATAACAATGGAAGCAAAAGCTAGAAACAAGGCCACGCCGGTTAATCTAGTAAACCATGCCTTTTGGAACCTTGGTGGCCACAATAGTGGCGATATCTTGTCAGAAAAAATTCAGATTTTTGCTTCGCGTTACACTCCTGTTGACAGCAAGCTCATTCCTACAGGAAAGATTGTGACGGTGAAAGAAACACCCTATGATTTTCTCAAGCCTAACACCATTGGCAGCAGGATCAACGAACTCCCTAAGGGCTATGACATCAACTACGCACTTGATGGAAGTGGAAACAAGAAGTTGAGGAAAGCAGCAATTGTGCATGACGAGAAGTCTGGAAGAGCAATGGAGATATTAACCAATCAACCTGGTGTGCAGTTCTTTACTAGCAACTCTTTGAACGTGAAGGGAAAAGGTGGTTTTATGTATAAACGCCATGGAGCTCTATGTCTAGAGACTCAAGGATTTCCTGATTCTGTTAACCATCCCAACTTCCCTTCACAGATTGTGAATCCAGGGAAGCCCTACAAGCATTACATGTTGTTCAAGTTCTCTACTTTCTAGATAATTTTCACGAAAAAAACACGAGTACATTATGTACTTGTTTCGAGACTGCTTTTTCGGTAGTTTCAAAGTCGGAGGAGGTCGTTTCTTCTTTCTGTTGTCTTATGCAATATATTGCTCTAGAAAATGAATGAATAATCGCTGAATTTGCTCGTAACGGACAATTATTTATTTTTGTAGGCCCCCTTCTTCTGAAATAATTTGTGTATTTAGTTCACCTTCTTTGGAGCTCGATGAAGGCCCCTCAATGGAGCTCATGACTCCTTCCAAGTTGATGGGCCCAAAGGCACATGCTGTTTTAGTGAATTCTAGCTAACCCACTTCTTTTTGTTGAGTGGACAATTATTTTTGCTCAGGAACCTTTTCATTTGGAATTCAATGAAAATGAAAACCCCAGGCTGCCCCGTCTGGTCCCTCTCGGAACATTTTGTTTTTTAAGAGAAATAGTTCTTAGGACATGGATACTGAATTTAAAAATAAATTTTAAAAATATTATTTTAATATATTTTTATTAAAAAAAAACCCTGAAAAATTAACAAAAAATTGAAAACATGGCTACGTTGCTCTCTTCCACTTCTTTCCTGGGATTCCCATTCCCCAAGCATTTCTCCTACTTCACTCCCTTAAAAGGTTTCTTTCAAATTCCTCACGTTTTCTTCTCTACATTTCATCAAAACCCAATATTTCTTTTTATTAATTTGCTTTCTATATTGATAAATACTTGCAGATAAAAGGAACTCGTTGAGATTGAATAAGGAAACCCTTTTGGGTTACAGTTGTTGTGTCACAACGTGTTCTTCTTCCACTTCTGTGTTCACAATGTCATCAAGTGGCGGTTCCTATGAGAAATCGAAGAGGGTATGGATATGGACAGAAAGCAAGCAAGTCATGACTGCTGCTGTGGAAAGAGGCTGGAATACCTTCATCTTCTTGTCCAACCATAGACAACTTGCTATTGACTGGTCATGTAAATACTCTCTAAATTAGAAATCCTCTACATTGTTTCTCATGCTCTGATTACTAATTAGGATATGGGTTTTATTACTGATCTTGTATTAATATAATTAGCGCACAGTAAGAGATATAATCAATAAATGGAGCAAACAGCATGATGAGAGTTTCTCATTTTAAAGTTCGGTTAACGTGTGTGCAGCATTCTCCTTTATAAACCCTTTATTTATCGAGGAAGGAGAGGTTTTGGATGGTGAGAACAAAAGGGTTGCCACTATTTTTGAGGTTTCAACTCCCCAAGAATTACAGCAGCTTCAACCAGAAAATGGGCAGGCTGAGAATGTGATTATTAATCTATTGGATTGGCAGGTATGGATGCTGCTCCTTAGGAGATTCTGTTGTCACTAGGATTTCGCGAACCAATCAGCCATCTTTTATCGTTTTGGACTTGCTTGTTTTAGAAAACGCTGTGCTTACCTGGTTTAGGATATTAAGAACTGCCCCCTTTTTTTTTAGGAGTACCTCTCCCTGAAGCACAATGTAATGATGTGGATGTTATCTTCACTACCTGTTAATTCATTAACAAATATATTTTACACCAAAAAAAGCTTTAAATTTCAAAAAAACTAAATCTGCTGGACGTTTCTTGCTATTCCATGAACATCCCTTGATATTCAAGTGATCCGTTACATTCTTAAGAATCACCTAAACTTGTTTTATATTCCAAACAATTAAATCTACTGGCTGTTACCCCTATTCCATGAACATCTCTTGCTTACGGTTTCAGGTGATTCACTCATTAAGGTTAACATGGTAGATTATTTTCAAAAATGATTTCTTTGATTGCAAGTATTCACAAGTGTTCATAGTAGATTATCTCATAATTGTAATTATGTCTTGCAGATAATACCTGCAGAGAATATTGTTGCAGCTTTTCAAGGCAGTCAAAAGACAGTGCTTGCAATCTCAAAAACTCATTCTGAAGCACAAATCTTCCTTGAGGTATCCGCTGAATACTCTTTGATCAGGGGGGAAAATGAAATTTACATGCCTGATTTATTGTTATTGTATTGGTGTGACTTTAAATGTTTGTGCTGTCATTGTAGGCCTTGGAGCATGGTTTGGGTGGAGTTGTTCTAAAAGTTGAAGATGTTGAAGCTGTTATTAAGTTAAAGGTAATTTTATTTCAGTATTTTGCCCCTTGATTCCTAAGTAGTAAAGATTGTTTCTTATCCTAGTTAATATTATCAGGAATATTGTGATAGAAGGAATGAAGCAACCAATCTGCTAAGCTTGACCAAAGCTACCATAACTCGAGTTCAAGTAGCTGGAATGGGTGATCGTGTTTGTGTGGATCTCTGTAGCCTCATGAAACCTGGTGAAGGGCTTCTGGTATCCCTCTAGTTTCTCATCTATACTTCTATGTGTCCTGTGTTTTTTTTTCCTTGTGCTGGTTATATATAATCACTTATGATAGGATGGACATTCTTTCACAGGTTGGTTCCTTTGCTAGAGGACTATTCCTTGTTCACTCAGAGTGCTTGGAGTCAAATTACATCGCAAGCAGGCCATTTCGTGTTAATGCAGTGAGTTGTTTGTCATGCTGACAAGAGTATCCTGATGACTGTTGTCTTTTTGCAACTTTTGGTATTCACTGTAATATGCAGTCTGGATCCTTATATTGTTGCCTTAAGCATGGCAACCATGCAATTAAAAGTAATCTGATTTATAAGATATTCACTTCATTGCTTTCTGTTACATACAGCGCTGGCAAAGACTTGAGAAACTTGGGCAGACAACAGTTAAAAATGAAATTAGTTGATCTAGTTTTTTCATGAGCTGTAAAGTTCTATGTAAATTTCTGGTTGTGTCATGCTATTCTATTGCACAATTTAAGCATGAAAATAGGTTGGTTTCTCAGATGTTCAAGTAGTTGGATTTTCCACTTGGAGTATTTTCTGAGTCATTTATTCTGTGATATATGTTAGTATATTTTACCAAGTTATCTTATGGAAACGTGCAGGGACCAGTGCATGCATACGTCTCAATTCCAGGTGGAAGGACATGCTATCTTTCAGAGCTAAAAGCAGGTGAAGAAGTTTCTGTGGCTGATCAGAACGGGCAGCTGCGAACTGCAATTGTTGGCCGTGTGAAGATAGAAACTAGACCTCTTATTCTTGTTGAGGCAAAGGTTTGTATGAAGATACCATTAGCAAGCATGATCTATGGTTCAATTACAAATATTGTAAACTACAATTGTAAAAAATTGTGTGAATAAACTTGAGACTGCAATTTGTTTGTCTGAACCCAATCTGTCATCTGATTGTTAAAATGTGAGTGCTAACAACTATCTACAGCATGATTAAATAACTGATGAGGGGGCTTTGAAGTCATTTGATCAAAACAAATTAAACTAATTAGTAAATAGTAATGAGGTGCAGTTGAAGATGGTCGATCTACTAAGTGCTTCATTCCTTCAGAATTTGAGATGTTTAGCTGGTAATGATAACCTTGTTAAAAATTCCATGAGCAGAACAGAATCTCTGAAGACATGGAGTCACATCAAATGCTATAACATAGTAGGATGTGAAAATAGAATGAGATGAATATGTTCAGGGCATGGAAATTGTGATGAAGATGGATCACTAAAAAACCATATCTGTTTAATATTGAGTTGACCTATAATCTCAAAGGAAAAGTGGAAAATGGAAACAATCAAAATTGTAGCTAAATCATTTTACAGAGAAAGTGAGGATGAAATTCCTCTCATGTTATGTTTCTGCGTTGTGACTTCTAGGGCACGCACTATTCACCAGTTTGGTTGCTGAAAGAGTATCATAAAAGGAACTTTGAATAGGGTACCTTTTGTTGTTTTTTTGTCCTCTTCGTTTCCTATGTTATGAATCTAAATAAGTGAAATCCAGACAGATCTGGAGGGAAATACGTTAATAGCTGAGATTCTTCAGTTATTTTAATAGCCAAAAAGTGTAGACTATTATTATTATTATTATTATTATTATTATTATTATTATTATTATTATTATTATTATTATTATTATTATTATTATTATTATTATTATTATTATTATTATTATTATTATTATTATTATTATTATTATTATTATTTTCATAAAATAAGGATTTCTTTTGTCTTGCTGGTTCCTTTATAGTTGGTATGGTTCCTTTGAGAATATTCTTTGTTGCTAGTCCTTGTCAGAGGAATCTGTTCCTTGTGTTTGCCATGTATTTTAAATTTTGTTAAAGAACTTGCTGATACTGATTGCAGAAGGATTGTATTTTAAATCTTATAGAATGTTTGGTGTTGCAGAGAGAGTCAGATGATCAAACAGTATACAGCATTTTCCTCCAGAATGCAGAAACAGTTGCCTTAATCCCTCCTTGTGAAGGTCTGTCAGGACTGCTGGTTTTGGTTTTTGCAATGTTTTGAGTCATTTATTTGTCAGTAGTTTCTCTTCATCTTGCGTATTTGAATGTTCCAAAATCGCCTATTTATCTTTCGCAGGAAATGGACTGCGAAAAGCAGCTATTCCTGTTACTTCACTGAAAGTTGGTGATGAAGTATTATTGCGAATACAAGGAGGAGCACGGCATACGGGAATAGAAATTCAAGAATTCATTGTTGAGAACTGAATAATGTGATGTGATCATACTATTCATGAGAATCCATACCGTGAAGCCAAGCAGCAGCAAAGTTACCTGCATCAACATAGTTAACCTGAAGAATTACTAAGCAACAACACGGGAAACATTTGCAATATGCTTATCCTAATATCCAGTTCCTTCTCCAGTCAATTGGAGACGCGAGCAAGAATGAAATTACGAGTCTCCTCTTGTGTGGGATGTATGCCATTGTAATAACTAGTTGCTGCCGAAAGCAGAAATTATATCTGTACTTTGTCTCTTAGTAGACATGGCATCCTCTTCGTTACCTCATGCATGTTGCTTATTTTTAGAGGGGTGTTGGTGCAAGTTCAAGGCCAAAATTTTCTTGTCGCCCGTTGTTATTAGTCCCACTCTCAAATACTTATGTGAGGGAGTGGACGGTGGAGCTACTTTTCAACTTGTAAATAAAGTTTCACCAAGGCAATTGATTGAAAAAAATTTAATAATAATAACAGCCTAAGAATACCATTCCCCGTGACCTTGAGGTTGTAGCTAAACTACTGTAACTTTGGGCATCGGTTTCGATCATTTATGAAACAGAGGGATGCCACATACACGGGGGTCATGCCAAGCTGGAAACCTTCGAAGTGAAGGCAAAAGTATTGGCCCAAAACAATGGAAGAATTCAAGTGCAAAAGAGAAAATGAAGAAGTCCCACAATCCTTGACTGAATATTGAATCGCAAATGTAGTAACAAATATGCAGCATGGCTTAAGCTAGAACAATGCAAGTCAAGTTTGCTCCATCAGTATAGTAGCTGGTAGTCTAAAGACCTAGCCTCTCGTGAGCACATGCCAAGAAATGAATGAAAGTAGATCTCTCTCTATGTCATGTCCCTGTATAGGCTACAGAATTACTGAATCACCATATTCAATAAGCCTTGGCCAATGTGGCTATCAATTCATCGAAGATGACAAACTTGTAGTTCAATAATTCAACGGATGAAAATCAAACCATAGTGAGCATTGACAGTCCAGCATAGTATGCCGAAAAAATCAACCATAGGAGATCAACAAAGATCAATATAGCTACTAATAAAAGGATAGAAAACGTAAGCATAAGAACTTAATTTGTAGGAAGACTCAGCAGACGCCCTACGGGTTCGAGGATCCCTTTCCAAGCCTAGGAATGCCCAGACAACAATGTCTGGCAACTTGCATGATAAAAGCAATGAAACCCAGTGTCATGGTGAGATGCGTCAAAGTAGCACAATAAAAATAAAAAAAACACATTCATTATATGCTTAAAGCACTTTGAAGAAAAATCAAATTGATGGAAAGCTCTTACCTATGTGAGTTCCTCGAAGAATAACAGCGGCATGCCTGCTGAGCTCCTGTGTTAGAGCCCTTGTATATAGTTCGGGCTGTGATCTAGTCATTTCCATACCACCATCAGGGACAATCCCACGATCCTGTATTTTAAAAAGTGCAACCAAGATTAGAAAAGATTGATCTAAAAGCATACTGGCATATTCAAACGATCAACCATGAGAAGAAACTGGGATTTTCCACCACAAAAGCACACCAGAAAGTATCATAACGCTGTTAGATTAGCATAAGATAAGCATAGGGATGTTAAGAAGGGAGGAGAAGATATCTCATTATGCCTTTTTTTTTTTTAATTATTGACAATTTCCATTTCCTTAATAATCTGTCAACCTATCTGTCACCTTTTTTTTTTAGAAAATTAGTATAAGATAAGCATAAAATACAAACTCTCGTCTTGTTTCCAAGTTAGAGTATAATATTTAAGCTTACCATTTAAATTAAATAATTCATGATGGAATAAGAACTTCCAGGAATTTATTTCGTCTTAAATTGAAGGCAGTTGTTATCCAACAAACTGGAAGATGTGTATAAATCATCCCCCTTCATCAGCTTCCATGTTAAGAGTTTAATGAACACATTTGATCGGGAACAAAAAGTATTGATGAACTCAATATTTCTCAATTCAAAATGAAAAGAGATGAAGATGAAAAAAAAAAAAGTTTTCGTTTTAAAAACAAATTTATTAAATAATCAACTAATAATGAAAACCTTTCACCAGTTTTGCATGTCAAAATTATTGATATGTATCTATTATAGTTAATATATTAGTTACGACATTGACTTTGTTGATGTAAATATATTTAATATTAATAAAGATATATTTATCTTTAATATTCATCAAATATTTAATTAATGAATTTAATATTTGATTAATGAATCTAGAATAAAGATGAATTTAACGGGAAAATTTTTTTTGCAAATAAAATTGTAAAGTTGTTATAATTATAAGATTTTTATTGCATCAAAACATTGTTCCTAAAATATTCTCAGTCAATGTTCTATTAAAATTGAACATTAATTAAAGTTATTGAGATAAGTACATATTCTTTCATTTATAAAAAGAAGCAATTGTTCTTATAAGCTGAGGTATAAGGAATACCTAGAACTAATATGTAAGTGTTTGTCAGATAACATATTCACTGTATTGACTTGTATGAAAATTTTATATGAAAAGATCATTTGTCTATAGAAAGACTTACATAATAGTTGTGTGAGTAATTCTTAAACTTGGGATCACTAAATTATCTTATATGAGGAGTGTTATATTTTAATCATGTTACATATAGTTATAATTGAGGGTAACAAATGGGCATATATTGAGTATAAAATGAATTATATGAAAGTATTTAAGTAATCAAGAAAGAATTCACTATCTTAGGTGAATTAGAAAAAATGTTTCATCTGTTCTTAAATAATATTGATTGTAAATCCTTGTATAAGGTGGAATAATATTTGTAAAGAGTTTCAAATCTTATTCAAATAATGAATGAGTATAATGATGAGAACAAACATGATTTAGCATAATAGACACACTTCATGATATAATGTCTAAAGCGGATCATTGTTGATGAATGCATAATAATTACACTGAGAAACTAGTTATTGAAAGATTAAGTTTGGATAAATTAGTATTTTACTATTTATAGAGTTTTTAGGTGTTAAAGACAAGCTTTGGATTTAGAATCATAACTTTAGGAGTGGGTTCCAATTTTTTGGTACAAGACTTATCCTCTCTCATGGTCATATAATGCAATTATATTATTAAAAAACCCTAAGCTTTTTAATTTATCTTGTAATTATTATCATATTAAATTTTATGTATTTAATTTCTTATCCATACACTTAGGGTATGTTTGAAAATGTGGTAGCAGTTGCGGTTCAACGTGTTTTTCACTTAGAAATGTATCAAAATAATTTTTTTTAATTTATTTTTAACATCAAATCATCAAAATGATCTAAAAATATAAAAAAAATAATTTTAAACAAAAAATATTTAAATTTTAAGGGAATACAATTTGAATCGTATTCTCAAACAAGCTCTTGTCGATAGTATCTGAGTTTTTATAAAGGCATTTTATTTTTATTGTGGGGGTATAAATATATATTTGTGAAAATTATCTATTTTAAAATTAATAAATACAGAGAAAGAATGAGAATTCTTTTGAAATGTTCTAGAGGACATCCTAAAAATAGGTTGTTTTTTAATTATCGTCTATATGATATTTTCCTTTCAAAATGATAAAATTAGCTTCATTTTTATTTTGAAGACATGTGAGTTTTACCCATCTTATCAATCATAGATTACATTTTGATCTAACGATTGCTACTCCTTAATATGTCATTATTTATTTATTTGTATTTCATTTTTCCTCTTAACTATTATTTATGATTTCTTATATATACATACTTGTTGAAAAACTATATATCAAGAAGCATACATGACACGACGAAAAGATTAATGTCTTCTCCCAAGTGTAGGAGTGTCGAAGTAATAAATAACCCGGCAAGACCGGGGTATAACCATAGGGAGGTTAATTGTACAAATTATAAACAACAATTATAAACAACAACAATAGTAACAATAACAACAACAATAATAATAGTAGCAATAATAATACTA